GATTTATTTAGATATAGATTATTACGAATGACACTTAAATGAGCATATGTATGGTACTGATGTGGCTATATGTATGATACTTATATGGGCATATATGTACTCCTATGGGCAAATGTATGGTACTTGTATGGGCATATATATGGTACGTGAATGGGCATATAAGTACCATACACATGCCTTATAAGTACCATAAACATGCCCATATAACTACCAAACTCATGCCCATATCAGTACCATAAATATGCCCATAAACGTACCATACATATGCCGATAATAGTACCACAAATATGCCAATAAAAATACCATGTATTTACCCATACAGGTATCATACTTATGCCTATATACGTACCACATATTTGCCCTTAAAATACCATACATTTGCCCATATATGTACCATACATATGCCCATATTTGTACCATACATATGCCTATAAAAGTACCATAGATATGCCAATACGTATCATACATATGCCCACATAAGTACCATACATACTCTCATTTAAGAACCATTCGTAATAATATATCTCTATGTAAATAAACAATATAGAATTGACAATTTTCATTACCCATTTTTAATTGTGATCAATATAATTATTACTAGATGTTTTTGAACTCATTTTGCTTAATAATATGTTGAGAAAACATGATGATTTGTCTGATATTTGAGATGGCTGTATCTTGGTAAATATGGCTGTAAAGGCCTTCATATTTAAAATTAGCAAAGAAAGACTTTATAGAAAGAAATGTAAATTAATGTGGTAAATCTAATGGTACCATTTTCAAAGCGATTCTATGGCTGGTTTTGATTTTGAGTTTTGAGAAAAATGACGATTTCGCCAAGGCGTCGATTTTTTCTTGTCCACAGTCTGATTGTGTGACCCGTCACCAAGAAGCGCTAAGTTTACTTTCATTATATGTTCTGTTTTTGTTTTTAGTGAATTGGCAATTGATTAATTACTTTCCTTAAGCTGTTTGAGGCAAAGAATTATTCCCCTCAAAGAAAAGTTTGAGGGAAATTATGCAATTGTCTATACCTTGAAGGCACAAGCAATTAGTAATTAACTCTTACTTCCCTGGATGTACACATGTCAATATTAGTACCATACACATGCCCATATAAGTACCATACACATGCCCATATAAGTATCATACACATGCCCATATAAGTACCATACATATGCCGATAAAAGTACCACAAATATGCCAATAAAAGTATCATGTATTTACCCATACAGGTATCATACTTATGCCCATATGCGTACCAAATATATGCCCTTAAAATATCATACATTTGCCCAATATATGTACCATACATATGCCCATATTTGTACCATACACATGCCCATATTTGTACCATACATGTGCCCAGAAAAGTACCATACATATTTCTATGGTAATTTTATAGTACCATAGATACTTTCCCTTCAGACAGCTTAGGGAAAGTAATTAATCAATTACCAATTCACTAAAAACAAAAACAGAACATATAATGAAAGTAAACTTAGCGCTTCTTGGTGACGGGTCACACAATCAGACTGTGGACAAGAAAAAATCGACGCCTTGGCGAAATCGTCATTTTTCTCAAAACTCAAAATCAAAACCAGCCATAGAATCGCTTTGAAAATGGTACCATTAGATTTACCACATCAATTTACATTTCTTTCTATAAAGTCTTTCTTTGCTAATTTTAAATATGAAGGCCTTTACAGCCATATTTACCAAGATACAGCCATCTCAAGTATCAGACAAATCATCATGTTTTCTCAACAAATTATTAAGCAAAATAAGTTCAAAAACATCTAATAATAATTATACTGATCTTATTAAAATATGGGTAATAAAAATTGTCTTTTCTATATTCTTGATTTATTTAGATATAGATTATTACGAATGACACTTAAATGAGCATATGTATGGTACTGATGTGGCTATATGTATGATACTTATATGGGTATATATGTACTTTTATGGGCATATGTATGGTACTTGTATGGGCATATGTATGGTACTTGTATGGGCATATGTATGGTACTTGTATGGGCATATGTATGGTGCTTATTTGTATATATATGGCACTCATATGGGCATATGTATACCTGAATGGCCATATATATATGGTACTTTTATAGGCTTATGTATGGTCCTTTTAAAGGCATATGTATGGAACTTATTTGGGCATGTGTATGGTGCTTATATGGGCATGTGCAAGGTAGTTATATTGGCATGTGTTTGGTACTTATATGGGCATCTGTATGGTATTATATGGGATTATGTATGGTAATTATATGGGCTATATGTATGGTACTTATATGGGCATTAAAATTTGGCATCATTAGCAATTTCATGCAATGGGGGTCATGGGGTTGACCCCAAAGGCAATTTGACTGCCCCACACCACCCACTAGTCATCATGCAAAGTTCAGTTTCAAGTTTCTTCTTGCCTTCAGCCTTACACAAACAGACATCCTTATTTCATAGATATAGAAGACAGGCAACTAATAAATCGAGTAAACAAATCCGGATCAAAAGATGAAAGGAAACATGGCGACTCAGGACGTGACGGCTCCACAGCTCAGCTGCCAAGAAATAATTGTAGCCCGGGCGAAATCGTCATTTTTCTCAAAACTCAAAATCAAAACCAGCCATAGAATCGCTTTGAAAATGCTACCATTAGATTTACCACGTCAATTTACATTTGTTTTTATAAAGTCTTTCTTTGCTATTTTTAAATATGAAGGCCTTTACAGCCATATTTACCAAGATACAGCCAACTCAAATATCAGACAAATCATCATGTTTTCTCAACATATTATTAAGGAAAATGAGTTCAAAAACATCTAATAATAATTATATTGATCACAATTAAAAAATGGGTAATGAAAATTGTCATTTCTATATTCTTGATTTATCTCGCGTCTTGCAGGGTTGGACTTCCATGGTGCAAGTGGTTGGGCACCCTTCCGTCCCTCCGTCCTATCCCAGCTCCTTGTCCTGATATCCTTGCTCCTTGACCTCATATCCTTGCTCCTTGTCCTGATATCCTTGCTCCTTGACCTCATATCCTTGCACCTTGTCCTCATATCCCAGCTCCTTATCCTCCCATCAATCCAATGTGCATGTGCTATATAGGCCGGAGTGGCTAATCTCTTTCTGCTCATAATTAACTTTTCATATTCCATGATGATAGTTTTCACTTATTAAACGTTACTGTACCTGCTCCTCTAAATAATTTTCTTTGATGTCCAAAATATGCTTTGAGCTTCTCTCTCGAGAAAGCTTAAAGTTCACTTGGTATCACTTTTCTTTCTTTCTTTCTGGGCTCAATAGACCAGTTTTTGACTTTTAGAAAGTTCCACTTATCATGAACTTTGACCTTGAGCGACAACAGTGACCTTATATAACTACACTCGCAAAGTATGTCAATCTATACACCTTAAATATACCTATTTTATATATACATTTCACCCGTCAGTATAATAATATTTATATCAAAATTAAACTATTATCTATAATATTTATATACTAATCTATATATAATTATGAGAATAAACTAATGTCTATAGAACTATCCAAATTCTAGTGAAATATTTGCATTTGGCGTGATTGTTCAGATTCTTTCCTGAAATTACTAAATATCCAATGCGACTTTTTTCTTAGATATCTCTATTAAAACAAAAGAAAACAAAATTCCCCTCTTACGGTTCAAAATATATATATATATATTTGGGTGATTAAAATATATAAAAGGTCAATATATATTAAAATATATAGCCTTGCATTCTAGGTCAAGTAGGGCATTCTGGCTATTAGGTACAACATACATGCATACATGAGAATGAGGTGCCATAGCAGACTAATCAATGAAAGTAAGTAAGTAAGTAATTATCAAAAGAAGGCACCAAACCGGGAAGGCTATGTAGCACCATCAAATGCGCAGAATAATCAGAGGGCCCTAAATATCACCAAGGATGCCAATACGAGAACAAAAACACATAAGGCGAACGATATCAAAAGTATCCGCTAATCAATGAAAATAATAACCCACCATTTTGAAATCACAAGGAAATGTAGACTATACATTTCTATACCAACCTGGGATCCTCTTTAGCAGTAAGCGAGAATATTTGTTGTTGTTTTAGATTCAACTACTCAGAATAGAAGTTCCAAGTAGCACGGACTATGGTGAGCCCCTAGTGGACTTACCTGACGTAGCAGCAGGACTAACTGGGAGAATATTGGTTGTAGCTTCTTTTATGACATCATCAGGTGTCCTGAGAAAAAGGGTATGCATTGGGTAATAACCTTGTTACATAATCCATCACGAAATCTGGTAACCACTGCTCTGAGGAGATATTTAATTAAGGTAATTATCAGGAGAAAGTACCCACGCCATTGACGAGATTAAAACTTGGATTATTTCTTTTGAAAAGATCCCATTATTTTTCTTTTGAATAATGTTGGGGATAAATTTGGCTTCACTTGATATTTCAATTTTTGAATCATTTGATATTTTATGTTCCGTGGCTTAAACTTGGATTAGATGAAACAGTTGACCACGTAACCCGATTGCACTCGAGGCATGGGGTTGAACGAGTTCATAAAGACTATGCTTTAGCAGTATGGTGATACAGTACTTGGCATTGCATCACGAGGGTGGAAGCTCTAGTCCCAGGCAAGGGCATTTGGAATTTTCAAGTATATAAAGTGAGGCCTGTGTGCGATTCAGGTTTTTCATTTGATACATACCTATACATACACAAAATGTTATATATACTGTATACCCACCGTATATAATAATACTGTATATAATAATACTGTATATAATAATATACAGTACCGTATACAATATACCACTGTATATAATACTATAATACTGTGTGTATATATATATATATATAATCTATCTATCTTTATAATCACATGTATATGTTGACACATTTTATGTCATTGGAACACAATTCAATGATTCAAGGAATAGAAAGCAAAAGAAAACACAGAAATATTGTTTAGTATTGTAATGTGCACTCACCCCATCTCTTTTTGTGGCAAATTGCTTATTATTCACATTATTTTGTATTTAAAGGCTTAAGGCTTATATTTGGAAAAAAAATGCATATGATCTCTAAATTTCAATGTCACAAATGTTTTTTAAATAATTACAACATCACATTCCCACTTTCATGAGGTGGTGAGGTATGCTATAGAAAAAACACTATAGTGGGATAACAAAGACAAATATTTCACCTATTAAAAAACAAAATGATCACTCGTCCATTTGTTATACAACTGTCTCGAGCATCACACACATACAAGCAGCCTGCACTCCTCTTCCTCCCAAGAGCAGAACCAGGATTCGTCATGCATTACTTGTGTGTACTTAAAGCACCTGTGAATCCTTCTATGACCACGCCAGCTTAGTCAACATCTACTGAACCGTTTGAGCTCTCAAGCCGTATACAGTTATTCATAACAACAACCTTGGGATGCAAACTTGTAAATCTTTTAATATAGACTAAGCCACCATGATCCAGGGAAAGATGCACACATACACAAATGCAGGATGGATCCTGGCCGTGTGGACAGTGCTTCGTATGTACTTACTTACATAAATGGTTTTCACCTGGCTGTGCATATATTTCTGAGGCGATATTCACCCAATTATTTATTTAGTATTTTACAAGTTAGTAACCATTAATTTGTTAAAAAAATCATTTATTTTTATTGATGCCATCCATGGTTAAAAAATGATACTAGTAATTCTGATATTAATCAATGTTTTGATTTGACTACCGACATATTTATTAAATTTAGAATCTGTCAATGGTAACAATGGAAATGCAAGTAACATTTAAAATGCACACATTTCATTTAACTAAAACAGAGGCACAATCCTTTCAGCCACAAACCTAACAAAATCTGTGACCTGAAGAATATGCTGTGGTCTTGGTCTGTGGAACAAACAACTTCAATCTTATTGGCCATGTGACCCAACATGAATTAAATATATTAATGTGAAAACATGTAATAATGGGAGGGGCTAAACTACATTTCCATCCAGTGTATAAACTTCTCTCTCAATGTTAAACAAAAAATATAATATATAGATATACATATATATTATAACTGCAAAAGAAAAATACACTTCTCTTTGCCAACACCACTTCAGTTGTGTTTAAAGTATATACTATAGTAAATAATAAAAAGGATCTTAATATTCTAAAAGCATGTGACAATATATCTATACACAAATTTGTTAAATAAAAAACAAGACTATGTTTTGAATTCACTAACCACTGCTTTCACTATCTAAATGTGGTCGGTGGTGACAGTGCCTGTCAGAGGTAATACAATGTCTGACATCTGGTCCTGATTGGAGATGTTCTACTATTACATCACTGCTGTTGCCACCCTCTACTGCTTGGCAATCATCGTTCGTTAATTCCGAATTTCGTGTTATTGGATGATCCACGGTTGTAGTGCTGCTACACGTCATTTTGTCTGCCTTTATTAAAATGCCACTTGCACCAACTGATTTTCTAATGCCAGAAGTATCACCGAGTACAGAGCCAGTGTCATCTGTCATTCCACAATCGGATGAAAACTCTTGTAGCCCCTCACAACAAGGGTGATTATTGCTCTCTCTTTCATCTGCAGCTACTGGAATAGCTTTATACCTTATTCCATCTTTATGCACCGTGTCATCCGGCGATGTATTTGAATTGCACTGCTTGTCTTTACCTGAAGATGTTTCTTGTGAAGAATCGGGTGAAGTTTCAAAAGGAAAGCTATTTTTGCACGAACTGACGAGGTCTGGAGTCACCGATGTGCTACATGTTCTTTTAGAGCTAGTAGAATCTGAAGCATTATTATCTATTGTTTCTGAAGAAGTTGTAATATTTAACTGTCTTGAAGATGAAATAGGAGTAACTTCAATTGAACTTGTAACAGGAGTCACTCGAATGGAACTTGTAAATGGAGACGAAGTCAACAATGATGAAGTGAAGGATGATGAGGAAAAAGAGCTTGTAGAATCATACTGTGTTGTTTCAGGAAGTTGAGGTGAGAGAGGGGTAGCACCAGTAGCCGAGGATACTGGATTTACTGAAGCAGACTGTGTTCCCAATACAGTTGATGTGGCTGTAGTCGTAGATGATACTCCATCGTGACTAGGGGCAGAACTATAGGTAGATGATGATGTAGTAGTAGACACGTTGTTAGGACTAGAACTAGGAATGGATGTAGTTGCTGTAGTCGTAGTGCTACCCGATGTAGAAGTTGACGTTGCAGTGTTCTGTTGAAGATTCTGCATAATATTTCTTACATTTCTAAAGACAAAGCTTAGTGAAGCATTTCCATTTCTGTTGTTTGCCAAACCGCCTGTCATATTTCGGAACACCAAATTAACCATGGGAGGAATATTTGGCCGTTGTACTCCATCATTTCTAGTGCCAGTTGCTCTTGCATTGGCATTATCTCCAACTCCAGCAGCAGTATTCTCACCAGCACCAGGGTTGGCTGCATTTGTACCATTCTGATTATTATTATTGTTGTTATTATTGGGAACATTGCGGAGAACAATATTAACGGTGTGGACACGGCCAAGCTGCTGAATCTGAGCCTGCTGCAATATTGCTGGCAATTCATAATGGTGGAAGAAGTAGAGCATCGAGTGCTGAGGGAAGGAAAAAAAAAAGCAAGATTAAATGACAAGCCAGTATTAATGTCACCATCTAAAATATCAACAAAGAAATTGAATTCGTAATACAAATTTACATTAAAATTCTGAACAAAATTAAAACAATGATAACATGAAAAACATTTTTAAAATGTGGCCAATATGCAATGCAGCCTTCCCAATAGCCAATATGCACAGACACTTTTACAAATCTTAAAACAAAAATAAAAACACGTGCGCACACGCACACACACACACACACACAGGACATCATATCTGTGTTGCTATTATCCTGAGCAAAAATATCTGCACCACATTAGGTATGGCACAATAACTATATTAACATAAGTCTTGGTACATTCAGTGTGTAAATAATGAAGTTATGACACCCAAGATAGGCAGGTGTCAAGCATCAATCAAGCTGGGACACTAGACCAAAAATATTAGGGCAAGATATAAACAAATTTGAGGATATTTCAGAAGTATCCTCAAGATGATGACAATACCAAAGATAAGCGTAAACATAATACCCTAAATACCCACAGAAACCATTTGTTCATAATACCCTAAAGGTATATTTGATAACACTAAAAAGGGAAGGTAATAAACACGGGTGAAGATGCAGAAATGTTGCAGGAGGACAACACAGTTTCAAAATGTACTGAAAATAGTCATGTGCAATTCATGTTCTCAGGCTAGAAAAGGAAAATGGAAGTACCAGACAACAGTGAAAATTACATAAATGTCAAAGAAATAACAATACTCCAGTTTAATATTCAACTGAAAAAACTCCTCAAGAATAATGGGGGAGGGGGAGGAAGGGAGGGGGACCTTAAACAAGTTTGCAGATTTCTGTCCTTATCAAGCCCACTTCAGATGATTGTTCTCAGGTAAATTCTAATAAATGTATAAATTTTCAAAAAGGGGTGAACAGGAGACTAACACTCATATATAGAATTAATCGTAATAAAAACCTTAATGTGATAACTTTTGTCAAGCTGAAAACAATACTATAATAAGCTTTCAAGCTGCCAAAAGTTTGATCCTAAAAATCCACTCTAATTACATGCTACTGAAGTATCTACTTGAAATCTTTGAGCCACTTTAATGCACAAGCATATTTCTATTCTTTTAACAAAAACAGTGTTGAATATAATGAAATGCCATTTTCTGGTTTGAGCCCTGGAGGCTCCCTGAAGCTAACAGACTTATATTAGTCTCTTCGCTTCAGCTTCCCCCCCCCCGCCCCTCAAAAAAAAAAAAAAAACATGCATTACATAGTAGAACTGTATTAGTGTATAAAATGACAAGTCTGTTATAAAGAATGTTATATAAAACTGAGTAAACACACAAATACAACAACTATGTAGAAAGATTTGTGACATCACAAATGCAAAAGCTAGTAGATAGAAGGAAAAGAGGAAACATGAACCCCACATCCAAAATTGCAGCAAGAATTGACAAAGTTGAATTTTATCAACTTTTTGTTGTTTTAATTCCTCTTAAAAACAAAGAGGAATTTATAAAACTTGCAACATTCATAACAAGGGGCCACAGAGGCCAAGAGGCAATTAGGTAAGTCCTTGCAAGGAGTGCCAGACCAACCAGGCTGTAGTGGATATGCAGGCCTGTGGGCCACTCCAAGCAATAGCCTGTTGGACCAAGTTATCAAGTCGAGCCTGGCCTCAGGCCGGGCTCGGGAGTAGAACAACTCCCAGAACCCCTCTCCAGTTATGTGCCAGGTATACAAACTCAAGCTTAGAAAGCGAAGATGTCCAAAAGTTCTCTTGTGTAAACCAAGTTGAAAGTGACTGGAAAAATTTGAGTCGGTGTGGATGTTAAAACAACAAGCCATTTCAAAGATTCACATCATTACAAATTATAGGGAAGATGGGACACCATGAACATAGTTGTCCTCTTGTAACTACACTTACATAATTACACACAAACTATAAATACTCACCAATATGAAGAGCCACGAGGTCATAAGGGCCAACCAAGAGTACTGAAAAGAAAATCAAGGTAAGTACGGTAGCTGTTTAACATTCAATTCTTTCTTTATTTATTTATATACAAGAAGGTACATTGGGGTTAACAGAGAACATAGAAATTAAGTTGAATTTACATTCTTGTAAAGCCACTAGCACACATAGCGTTTCAGGCAAGGAATGCTTTATGCTTTTATAAGATCTATTTTAAACTAAACTCCAATCCTTAATTCTCACTGTTATTGCATCATAATTTGGAAGCATGTGGCAGCATCTAATCCAAAAGTATTTATGTCAAATTTTCAGTTTGAGACCATTTTTTATATTTTCATTGATGATCCATATTTATTAACATTTTCTCAAAATTTGTAAAACTGATATCGTGATCAGAATTTAATTAATATGAAATTCAGTATCTCCAGATATGCGTTTCTTATATTTCCCATATACTTAACTGTTATTTGATACGATGAAACCAAATTTGCTATAATATTTTTAGATTTGTGTACTCTAAGGGTTAAGATAACTTGAGCATGCTTAAATGAATGGTACCTGCCAGAAATTACAAAAAATGATTAATAATGACAGATCCCCAAATAAAATAAATAAAATGCTTGGAAAGAAATAGATAAAAATCATATAATGTATATTACTTTGTTCCTAATGCTCTCTATATCAATTGTTAAAAAAGAAAGTTCTCACCTGGCCATTGAATCGATAATGGTAGGCATAAAAGGCAAAGTGGTAGAGATAGAAGAAGCGGAGCCAGTGACGGCGAGTGATGGCCGTGTGGCAGCAGATGGCTTCATACTGGTCACAAACCCACACCAGCACAATAATGTAGAATGCCGTCGAGGTGTCATTGAAGAACTCCGACATGATGGCTTCCATACCTGCAAGATGATTTGTAATGTTTTTCTAGCGAGCATCATAGTGATAGAATCCTGTGCATTATTCCCCGAGCACCTTCCGTGCTACAAGAACTTACTTCTGCCAAACAGAAACCTCCGTTTCAAGTTTCATACTCCAAAGGAGCGTCTAGACAAGGACAAACCTGATTGTCATGAGTATTATTCTAAATTTGATGTCCATAAACCCTCACATCATCGTAATTATTAAACAGCTATAATACCCTTAAAATACCTTCTCTGCTAATGATCTTTCAAAAAAAGTTCCTACTAAGTACATAAAATGTTTCAGTGTTTGCTAGGAAAACGCAATGTTAAACTGCCACCTGAACTAATACAGAACAGATCAAACAGCATCATAAGCTGTGAAAAATTAGTTAAACTGGCTATGGTCAATTTTAACTTACACACTAAATGTACTCCTCAATTTAGTCACAAAAGACTAGTAATATAATTGCTTAATAGAAACCATTAACATTATATTCAAATATTTAAATACTTTATTTGCCTATGTTTATTTAAGGTTGACAACAGCCCATTAGGATATTTAATGCTCGATTATATTTCATTAATTATACAGCTGTTTATCATATTTGAATATCATTAATTAATTGCTCATCTTTGAACATAAGGTACCCTGAATTATTGCACTTTTGTTAGTCTTTTCAAATGTTATTGTTTGCTATTTCCCCTTTCAACATATGCTACGCAGCTTCTTCACTGTTCAGCATCTGTTTCATCCTAATTATTTACAATGATTACAGTAACGAGTCTATCTGCTGAACGACAGTACCTCATAGGCTTCAATAATGAAGTGGGTCACATAACTGGCAAGCCAATCCCATGATGATAATGAATCCCATCTATGAACAATCATGGTAAGGTAAGGTAATTATCATTAATTAGCCATTACGACTATACATGTATACCGGTACCATGCTAACTCACCATTGTTAGGTTCGAGTCCCCAGCAATCATAGGTTAGCATGGTTTTAAAACTGTTAAATTTTGTCCTTATTTTTAATTATTACACAAAATGTGTATATGCTTATTGCCTCTAGAATTAAACTGCTGCCCAAGATTTACCGCACCTTTCTTTCATTTCCTTCAAACACATCATTCTCGTTACATTTCTCTTTCATGCAAATCTGTTAAGAAAATTAAATCCCAAGATAAAAATTAACTTAGGCGCTGTTTGTAGTCGTAATACTAAAGTTTATGAAGGAGCAAAATCGGCACACTGTATATATATTTTTGCATCTCACCAACAAGTGCAAGAATCACAGTCAACATGGGTGCTGCAGGGAAGGTGATAGCCACATTGAGTTCCAGCATCTGGAGAAGATCCACAATGAAGAGGAAGATCTGGTGGTGCGAGTAACGCAGCAGCATGGATACACTCAGAGTGAACACCACCATCACAAACGCTGCCGCCAGATAATTGCTGCCTCCCATCCACATGCTCACGAAGCGATAGTGCTCTCCAGTAACAACATTTCTGCTTGTAAAGAAAAAAATATGTGCATTTACTATTGCATGCCCCCCAATAAAATTGTAATGAAAAAATTTGTGCATTTACTATTTCATGCCCCCCAAAAAAATTGTGTTTGAGTTATTTTATAGCGTAGTCAGCATAGCCAAAATTTTAATATTTGCTTGATTAAAGACAAATTCTTGGGGTCGGCCAAAAACTTAAGTCACACGGAAATAAGCACACAATTTCAGTTACCTCCGTTTGCATGCTTAATTAATATATGGTAAGAGCTACTGGTTCCTACTATGCATCGCCACGTAGGAAGGAATGCTTACATCAATGCCATAGGGAACTTTTCAAGTATTTCATGCAGGGAAATAAGAAGTGCTATCTAGTGTCTGGACTAGATTGATTCCAGCCAACTAACTCCCTAACTAACAAATGTCTCTAACAGATATCAGTAACACAGATATCCATAATTAATTAAATTAATATCAATGCACCATACAAGATTCCTCTTGCATTTAGAGCACATTGATTTTACCTACCGAAGATAGCCTTTGTTTTCTTCTTTTTCAGCCAAACTCTTAATAGATCCCATGAGGATATCATCATAGCCTAAAAATTCGTCCAGAATAAATCTTGATAGCGAGTCTCCAAAGCAAGCATCTTTCATAGGATCCAGAGTAACAATTTTGACAGGTATATTGAGACGCTGTCGTGTGGCTGGTGAGAGTCGCAGGAACCCGTATTCAAGTGAGTATTCCACAATATACTCATCCTCTGGCCATACTGTTGAAGATATTAATGCTATTACTCACTGCATCTTCATTTTCAGCTTACTTACAATGGTAGAATTACTTTTTGAGAAATTACATATATTTTATAGTGAAAACAGTATATATTCTAATAGTATGAGAGTAGAAAACCAGTATAGCAAAATAAATGCAAAGTAAATATTAAAATGTATTTAGAGTAGCAAGTAATTATCAAGAGAAGGCACCAAGCCGGGAAAACTACTTAGCACAAATATATATTTGAAGCCAAATATAAAGTAGTATGCCCCAGTAAGGTGATGTTTATACACACACATCTTACTGCAGACTGTAATCCTCTCTACAAGGCTTACCAATATTTCCCTACCTACCAGCATGGTTGTCTATGTGGTCACCCATCCTGGCACTGGCAAGACCCATTGGCACTCAAGTCTGACTGCCCAAGAGGGGATCATTCAGTGCCACCCAATGGTATATGTAATAGAATGAAGGAGTAACTAAAGAACTATGTGATACCATTCTATTATCATTGCTTTGTTTTCCTAATTATGCGAGGCGGGATGGTATCGAGCCCTGGAAAAAGGTGGTGGATATAAACAATCGCTCATATATTTCATTTATTATCTCATTCACACTATTGTATATAGCGCATCATGGCTAAACTAGCACCACCACCATATGCCAGCAGACACTGACAGCAGCTCCCCACTCTACAGAGGATCAGGTGTAAAGTTACGTACTCTACAGTGATGCATTTAGAAACCTCTTATGAAAATCCAGCAAAGAATAGAGGAAATACTGTTTTTAGACAATTATATTTTTGAGTTCTTATCATAAATAGATTTGTATACATTGAGAGAAGGAGTTTACTACAAAACAATTTGCACACATAATTAGTAACAAACCCCAATATAAATGTGAACTGAATGCAATGCTAATGTACAGAACTGAATGAAAAATGAAGGGCACAACTGATGCAATTTTACAACCAAATATTCGATATCACCAAAAGATGTCTAGGAAATATATTATTCCCTACCGTGAATATAATCAACCTACCTTGAGGTGCCTCCGGGGCTTAGCGTCCCCGCGGCCCGGCCGTCGACCAGGCCTCCTGGTTGCTGGACTGATCAACCAGGCTGTTGGACGCGGCTGCTCGCAGCCTGACGTATGAGTCACAGCCTGGTTGATCAGGTATCCTTTGGAGGTGTTTATCCAGTTCTCTCTTGAACACTGTGAGGGGATTGCCAGTTATGCCCCTCATTCAACGTCAATGAGAAGACAACCCATAAATTTTTTAACAACAAAAACTTACCAGCTTTGGCAAGCATTTCCAAAGGCTCCTTTTTTGGCAAGGGGGAATCATCATGCACGGTAGCCATCAGGTCTTCTTCAGTATGGTTGGCAGTGAACATGTCTGACTCGGCAGTGAACATGTCTGACTCGGCGTAGGCAGCGTTTGTCAAGTCAGCGATAACTTTATCCTCGGGTGGCTCGTATTCTACTTGAGCTGAGAAATAAAAGTTAATCATTTCTCAATTTTTTTTTTAATTTGTAGAATACATCTTTGAATCATGATGAGTAACACTTAACTAGAGCAGCAAGGCCTGCTGAACTTTGCATGTGATGTTGATGGTGTGTGGCCTAATAGCCGTACTTGAGAGAGGTTTGTGGTGGAATGATTCTGGCCTAAATTTCCTCAGTGCCAATCAGCTAGCCTTGCCACCACTAAGCCAAAATAACACCAGATATTTACACTTTTCATTACACAAACCTAAGCTGTTTTATTACAGTATACAGTAATAAGATTTGAAAGATAATTGAAATACAATACAGTATATTAATGTGAGAAGCAATCTATATAGTATTAGAAGTACCAAAAGCATTAAACTGAACAGCACTGAATGCAATTTTAGATGAATATCAATATAATTTCTCACTCATCCTTTGTTTGGGGGCAAAATACAATTTATTCCAACAAATCTACCTATTCGCAGGAATGGTTCCCTAGATGTGCACGTACAGTACAATATCAGATGCTAATTTTACATGTACTCTTAGTGATTAGTATGACTATTACCTTAATATATTTATAACATCAACAAATAATAATTACGTCTAACAAATGAGTTGTGGGTTTCATATATGTGGTATATTGTTGTCATAATGCCCAAGCACACCGAGCCTTCAGCCTCTCCTCCTATCTTGAAACCAAGCTAAACAGATGTCTCACAAAACCGCTATTAAAATGCAGCAGTAAGTCAGTGGGTAAGGTCTTTAGGGTATCCATTGCCATCAAAGAACACCCAATTATCTTCTATCTAAAATAAATAATAGCCAAATCTGCTAGAGACAGCGGGTATCCGATGTATCGAGTACTTAAATAATTTAGTCCAGTTACCTTTAATCGGTTTAGTTACTGTACTTCGTACTGACTTGTCATTCCTTCTCTCTAGACCAAATATATGGGATGTACTGCAGACAAGTCTGCTGAAGTTGACTCATTAAATTTTTAAATAAATTTGCCTGACAAGGATTACCACTTCATTCAAAGTAACGCATCTTGAGATGATTTCTGGGCTTAGCGTCCCCACGGCCCAGTCCTCGACCAGGCCTCCCTTTTTGTTACACACCCTCAGGTACCTATTTACTGCTAGGTGAACAGGGACATCAGGGGGTGAAAGAAACTCTGCTCATTTTGTTTCCGCCTCCACCGGGTATCGAACTCGGAACTTAAGGACTACGAATCCGAAGCACTGTCCACTCGGCAGTTAGGCCCCAGGTCCCTTAAACTCCTAAAATCTTTTTAAAGATGACATTTCACCTGTTCCAGCTGTATCAAATTAATACCTATTTTAAGCCAGTATAAACTACTTAACCCCATGTACCTGTCTGATCTCACATCCAAACACAATGCTTTTGTCAGTTATGAGCAAAACCGAGCCAACCACTCTCGATAACCCCTTCCCCTCCGGTCAGAGCAGGTAACACAGCTAACTCTAGCAATGTGCTACAATAAACATTAAAAAATTACACACAGCCAATGTCTTGAGAAAGAAATGAGAGTCCAAGATGCAATCTCAACAAGATAGTTGGAAAAGTGTGTGCGTAACCTTTTCTAAAAAATGGAAAATACTAATAATGTAAGGGATGTGAATTTCATCTAACACATTCATTCACTATCAATACCCTGATTCCCCATGTTCTTCTTTCTTGGGGTTCAGAAGCATCAGCCCATAGAAAAATTTAATATAGTTACAAAGGATTAGATAAAAAAAAAAAAAGTAAATATATTGCTTAGTTTTGTTATAACAATCCTACTAAATAAATATTATGAATAAACAATCAACACTAGAATCTAGAAGACATTAATTAAACACAAAACAGTAAATTACTCACCAGAAGATTCATTTGATATTCCCAATTCTCTTTTTTCGAACTCGGGTAAGCCTGGGAAGAGGAGGCATGGTCAACATTATTAACCAAGGTACAGGAAGTTGCAAGCCAATATTATACAAGAAAATATTAATTGGTTAATAATGGCAAGAAAACAATGCAATTTACACCACAAATACCTTTAAAGTTTTATCACACACTAAGGGCTCAAATACACTCACAACACTTCACTCCATTTAACTCCAGGAATTACAAAAGATCATGACAACATAATGACACCGAACGTAATTATAATGCACAAGACAAACTATATACACCACACCAAAACACCACGCCAAATGTTACAGGGAAAAAGTATATTTCCAACTCCCTATACTTAATAGGAGGCATCACTATGGAAAACACAGGGAGCAGTACATTTAAAGACTAAAATTACAGTATTAACCAACACCAGTTATTTAACAAGCCACACCATACTCCAGCAAATCATTCACAGCAGCACTCGACCACTTCATAAACGTAAGTATACAGTGCTCTTCTTAATTTGCCATATACAAGTAAAACACTCGATCCCTTTTCACAAACTTCAGCTTTATTTCCCACCACATCCAGATAACAGATCACACTCACTCTTCACTTTCTCATACACGCTTGCTGTCTTATCTTAACCACCTACACTTAATTACTCGAATTCACTTTCTTCTCCACTCAATCTTAATCCATTCATTCAACATGACCAAATCATCTTATTACACTCCTCAATCTTGCAATTTATTAGCTTTTGCGCTCCATATCTTTCTATTATATTTTACTAACTTTTATCTATTCGCATCATTAAATTTTTTTCACATTATGCACTTCTCAAACTGTTCATTTCTACTGCTCGAATTCAAATGTTTTCCCATTCAAGCTGCAACACTATCTCACCTCCACACAAGGCTAAATGCTACTATTGTGCAATCCAAAACCAAAGTTCACAAACATAAATGGTACCCAATGCATGGCATGTATAAAATTAGTAAATACTGGTGTATTTATTTAAGTTGCATTTATAAATACCACAGTAATCGTCCATTCTTCTTTAACATCATAGATCCAATTTCATGCAATTTGCACCTAATGTTGAGAGCATCTCAAATTAAGTGCACATCTTTTGGTTTCGTAAGTGAGCACGTCCAAATCACATACACTTTACCCATTTAATAGATTTTCAAGGACAGGGGTATAAGGTTGGTAATCATATGTGAAACACAAGTGTATTGATGAAGGGCTAACATTATTAAACAATGTTTGGGCATTTATTTTAAGAAAGATTAATCAGTGCTTCAGTAGACAACAGTGTTGAAGGTTACTTTGAAAGTAGAGTAACAATCCAGATATATAGAACGATGGTAGAGGCAATTTCAAAAGTAGCAATTTAAGTAGCAATGGTTAATAGGTGGAAATACTCAATACTCCATTAATTACAAAAAATGCAAGTTTCACTCTCACATTACTTGAGAACTAAAAGTGCAAAGAAACCTCCATTTGCCAAACACTCCATATGAAAAGTTTACTTTGTATTTAACAAAAAAATTACTGTACATATAATTTAAATGTTATTTACCATGATTTGCTGTGTCTCCTATTAGGTCCTGTGACATAGTTACAAGTTGCTCAGGACTGGATTCTTCAGAGGTCCTAAGATCAGCACTCTGCAAGTACCACCAAAATCTCTCTCTTAATCAGTCAACATGGAAATACATCAGTAATGTTAAATAATTCCTTCAGCTACTTTAAATAAGTGACCATTACCACCACAAATGAGCAATAAACTAAACTACAGAATTACTCGCGATATTCAACAGTAGCCTGCAGAAAGCAAAATTGAGGGCATCTGTAAGAACGGTGTAATGCCCACCAAAACGAAAACATGCACAAAAGAGATCCCCCTTATTAGGAACACCCAATAATAACAGGAAAATTTAAATTAAAAGCATCATTAGGTCTGCTGTGCAATACAGCATAATACAAAATGTATTGCAATATTTGAAAGGCAACTGATCTTTTAAAAGAAATCAAGAATAGTTTTAGTAATGAGAAAACTAGCTTTTAAATACCAATCTCATTCAACTCTTGATCACACACCTTCATTCACACTTCTCCTCACCGTCTTCCAAACGCCAACAAGAGTCATCAATAGAGGTAAAGTACAACTTGTACATACTGTAGTACAAAATATTTGTAGTATTATGCATGAATGTATTTTTAAAGTTAATATTTTTGGGAGTGTGGAATGGATTACAGTAATTCAATTGACATTATTTCTTAGGGGAAAATTAATTTCGGTTTATGAACCGTCTCTGAGAACAGATTAAATTCGTAAACAGAGGTACAGTACCACTACCTATAGGGCCCAGTATGCTCAGGAATCTGTACACCAGTTGATTGACAGTTGAGAGGCGGGACCAAAAAGCCAAAGCTCAACCCCCGCAAGCACAATTAGGCGAGTACTACTTCTATTCAATGCGAGTGATAAACAAATGGAACGCATCTGAAGCAGAAGTGAAACTACCTCAATTTATATCCTCAGGAATAAGTATGACAGAGCATTAGAACATCAATAACGGTAAAAACAGTAGATACAATAAGGAAGGGAGGACCCAAGAGCTAGCGCCTTGTAGACACAGCGAAGTCACCATGGTTCAGAAAGTACAATATGTGATGGACAGACATATTGCCCTACCTCATCAACACCAGCCTCTGATTCAGCATGTGGGTGCATTTCTGTCACCGAACCGTCTCCATCGGTGACCACAGGGTCGCCTCCGCCAAACAACCTAGAAAACAACACACTGCCTGAGTTGACCAATTTAAGCCTCATGAGGTAAATTACATTGCTCATCAAGCACTTTTATATAAAAAAAAATGTTATCTATAAAAGCCAGTATTAATAATTAATGATACGTAATGTCTTCTTACAGACATAACAACACAATAACTTATGTATTTGTGAATTTTATATCAAGATTTACACAAAGTATTTCACACTTTCCCAAGTATTCTGATAAAGTTTGAGTGTGTGGTCAGGACGAGACTTACATCTCAATCAAAAGGAGGATTGGATCTAAGGTAGTAGTTGTATGTAGGAACTAAAATTATATATAATGAAAAAGTGAAAAACTTTAGTGAAAGAAAAATGGGAGGAGTAACTAATGAGCAGGCAAATTCCTCATTTATTTTTCATCACCTAATGGTAGTCTTAGCTTTTCAGTGTACCTATTATTCTTCCAAGCTCTAGGGAAATCAAATTAGAGGAATAATATTAAATTACAGAATGTAAATGTACAGTATTACACAATGAGTAATTTATTGCCAATTAGCATTTAAAATTAATTGGGTGCTAAACATTACTGCATTTTTATGCACCAGTTTGCAATGATTGATATATATATATTTTTAAAGAAAATTTAATACCCAAAATGATGAACAACAATTTGAGAACCTGAAGGCAATTCTTTATACAAATCACTGAATTTTACCCCAGCTGCCCTGATAAAGTCCTTACAAGGGAAAACATTTAACAGCAAATAAAGTCATCTCATCTTGGCATTTGTCTACATATGCACTACCCTCTTACCATCACTCATAAAATGATGAGCCTAAAGCACCCCTCAGTCCAACGAACAACAACAGCACAAGACTCACATATCGATATCAGAGCTAAGAGCACCGAGAAACTCTAGCTGTCTCTGCTGCAAGCGCTCCTCCTTCTCGTAACTCTGTTCCACTGTGTAATCTTCACCTATACAAGTAAATGCAGTACATTAAATTTGCTGTGAAAAAAGCCTTCACCAAGAAACAGTAATGCACATATGTTTTACATAGGTATGCAGAACACTTATAGAAATGTAATGTAATGCCGAGTTTAAAATCTGGGGCCAAGCACTCTAACATGTACATATTCAGTGGAAGAAATCCTAGATCAAGAAAGAAGATTGCTTAGGTTACAGAATCGTGTTACATTCCAGAAGAGACATGGATATATATAACTATCTGTATTACATTACACTGATACATAGTCTGTACAAAGAAAGAAATGTGTATCTATTTAAGACTGAAAAATCTGAGAAAATATAAAACTCATTAACAGCATAGCAATGCAAATATAAAAAATGACTTAAAGCTAAAATATCAAGGTAACCTTTTTGATTTTTCCTCTTAGTTAACTTTTCCATGTGCAAAAATTATTAATCTGTCTGAACAATAACAAATATAAACAAAAAGGGTTTTGCCTTACTTGGATTCCTAATGACTTCTACCCGTAAAATACCTTCCCTGGGCCAATCATCACGAATATGGTCCAGGCAAGTGATGGGCGCTCGAGTGAAAGCAAGATGAATGTAGACCAAGAGGAACAAAGTTGTCAAGGCCTGAAACAGTGCCATTAAAAATTTCCATGCTATCATTAACATTTATGACAGACTGCTCCAAGTGGAGCTTAGTTCCCCAAGACCCAATGTTAAACTGAAAAGAACAGTGTATATAGTTAAAAGTACTATAAAAATATTATTAATTCTATGACCAAACAATCACTTTTAACATATTAGTTATGTACTGTGGAAGCCTATTCATATGTAACCCAATCCAGTCTTGAGAAGCACCGAAAACAAAACAAAAACGAAAAAAGTTCTGGTTGAGCAAATCTGTATATTTAATTAACAGGAATGCAATACCTACAAAAATTTATAAATTTAATATTAACAAATTTAATTTGTCTAACCCCCTCTCCCCCCAAAAAAGTTATTTTGGTCAAAATATACATAAAAGCATGTGTCATTTGCATGTGTCTTAATTAAAATGAATAATTATAGCTATAAATAATGGAAAATAGATTAGATTAGATGCATTAGATCCAAATACAAAAACTGTTCCAGTCTAGAAAGTTATACAGTACGGTACATTATTAAATTTTTAAAGTGACAAATGATAACACTATACTGGCAAACCTCAATTATTTGCTGATCCATAAGACAAATAAATGTAATGTTTAGTTTTCAGCACGTACTCCAATTACTGCAAGTCGGTGAGGCATCATAAGCAAAACAATGACAAAATTCACAGGAGTCGACTAGAGCGTACATATGGGAAACACCCAGTGGTTGGAACCCTCATCACGGCTCCTGTGGATTTTCTCAATAATGATAGTGTTGCTAATTGATGGTGACATTACTCATTTATTCATTATCACACACTGTACAAGTGTATATTAATTTCTATGTAGCTTACCTTTAGTAAAACAGTGAATTCAATCAATCTTCTCATTGGTTGTGGGAAAGCACGAGCATACGCTACAGCCAACCTGAAGAAGAGTGCCTGAAAGAGTCGTTCTCTCACATTGGCCAGGCCACCATTGTTGTTATTATTCGGCCGATTTTGTGCATTATTTCTATTCTGAGCATTGTTTCCCGCATTAGCATTCTCTTGCTGCGGTGGGGCTTGTCCTGAGGTGGGAGGCTGTCCAGGTGGAGATTCCTGAGAGGGTGAAGGTTCCTCTGCAAGCTGTGGCTCTTCAGGTGTAGAAGCGGTGGGTGAAGACTGCTCTGAACTGGAAGTGGACGAAACTTGTCCAGATGAGAGTTCCGAAGTTAAGATTGTTGAAGAATTTTCTGTAGGGGAAGTTTCCTCAGTAGGTAAAGTAGACTGTGGCAGGTGCTCCATGTTTGGTGATGATGGTTTAACGTTTAAAGAAGATGGAACTGATTGCTGAGGCTGTGGTTGAGGAGTGGAGAGAGCAGCACCTGAAGATTCTTGGACTAGATATGACTGCTGAGTGTTATCAGGGAGGCTGGATATGGACCTAGAGTCTGTACTACTTGATTCAGACATTACAACTCCTAACCTGCAAAATTAAGAAAATCATGAATAAGAAGTTCCTTTTAAATAAGATTTATTTAAAAGGACAAAATGTCATACCCATTTACTAAATATGGAGCAAATCAACTGGCCTTAGTTACCCATGAGAGAACATGACCAAGGCAAAAGTAAATAAAGTCTCTGTTAATGATGTATTCTTCACAGTATATTTTACATACAATGTCTGAAAATAAACCCTGACACAACCTACAGACAATGGATACATTTGATACAGGTCAATTATTCATTGTACTACAGAACAATGGTGCACAGCATAATGTAACCCAAACTGTATAAATAGTGATTTTTTTAGATTTTGTATCCAAATAGCACAGCAACCCACAAATCTACCATCTATGTTTATATGATTCTTAGGTTCAGCAAGGGGATTCATTATTCAAACAGTACTCTAAGGCCTATATTTCTGAGAGACCTGTGTATTCACTGATACGGTCCTCTACAGAATTTGTAGAACTACTACTGTGGGACCAAAGTGCCGAAGCTCAGCCCTGTAAGCACAACTAGAAGAGTACATCAACACAATACACACAGACATTACAATAATCACAATTGAGTGATGCATTAAATGAACAAATCCACAAGGGCCGTGACAAGGATTCGAACCTGTGTCCGAGAGCATAAGGCAGCGTCTGGGATGCTCTCGGATGCAGGTTCGAATCCTCGTCACGGCCCTTGTGGGTTTGTTACAACACAAATTACCCCATTTCCAATCCACATCCTCCGGCTAGCCATATTTGTCTAGATAAATTAAGCATCAAGTTGAATTAAGTTAGGAGCAAGTTAGAAATGGATCAACAATAATTATTTTGATTTGTTGGGGAGAGCAAGCCTGTGTATATACATATTCTTTAGGCTTGTATCGAGGCTCTCCTTTTCCCGACGTCGAGCTACTGACCATTACCCCTGGTTGCAACCCCACAACAAATGCCTAACTCCCGGATATCTATTTACTGCTAAGTGCAGTAAATAGATATCTGGGAAGAAAGGAAATGGGGGCCCCCAACCATTTCTGTCTAGCCTGGGAATCGAACCCCAGACCCCGAATATCAGATGAGAACAAACCGAACTGTATGAGACCTTCCCCATCTCCTGCTACTGACAGTTACTGGTTGTCTCCTTCAGTTTGCACCAAGATGAAAGGAAATCGCCCCCAACCTTATCCGTCTAGCCTGGGAATCGAACCCCAGATCCCGAATGTCAGACGAGAACAAATCAAATTGTATGAGACCTTACTCCTGCTACTGACAGTTCCTGGTTTTCTCCTTCAGTTTGCACCACGGTTTCTTCTCCAACTTACTGAAGTTCTCGTCAACGTGACCTGTTCAGAACACATTCTCCTCTACACTACAAAACTTGTTATACCATCTCTGCAATCCTTCACCCAAAGTTCTTCCTCATGTCTCGGGAGACGATGGACGACTTAACATCCTTCAGCAACAAGAGCCCCAACAATACCGTAATTAAGGAAAAAGTTTGATAAAAGGCAATAAATACGACATGGAAAAAGCAATTAAAGACTCTTAAATCCACATTATCAACACTTTACTTACTTTCTCCCCCTAAAAAATAAACAATAATAAAAAAACAAAAAAATTAGAATCACAACAACTGGAAACGTAGCTTAAAAAAAAAATAGTTGACCTTTAGCCTGAGGCGCAGACCCCCTGTACTTCCTGGAAGCTCTATCACCTTCCAGATCCCATCCATCTCCTCCCTTCACCGCCACTTACTGCAAAATACGGCAACTAGTTCGCCCTTGAAGCTAAAAAAGACGTAGAATATGTTTCTAATCGATGGCTGAGAACATGTCAGCTGATTGTTTATTCTCCCACAATGCAGCGGGTACTGAGGCTTCGGGCCTAATACTATTATTTCGTCCTATTGCATTTAACAGCAAACTTTCCTCCTTTCAATATGCTATTTGAATTTGTATATAGCTACGAATAGTAAGTAATATTTATAAATATATTTAAATGTGAGAAAAATGACATTGTACAAGTTAACGAGCCTAAATTTTATTTCCTTAACTATATTTACCTGAGGGCCACTAGCACTTTAGCGGCCTCAACGAGGACAGGAAGCCGACGGCTTGTCAAAGGGACTCCCCCTACATCCCCCCCCCCCCATTTTCCCTGATGATCTTTTCCAGTTGGATTTTAAAATTTACAGTTTTGGCATTTACAGCTTCAGCGGGTAGGCGGTTCCATGGGTTTATTAACCCTGTGGGTGAAAAAGCATCGCCTGTTCTCAGTCTTACACCGTGGTTTGTCAAGCTTGAAAGCATTGCTCCTTGTTTGTGTTACAACTGACCTTATGAAGAAATTTTCCGGATTAACATCCTCCAAATTATTCAGTGTTTTAAAAGTTTCAATGAGATCCGCCCTGTCATGCCTGGTTTGCAAGTGTTGTCGCTATCCCCTGATAATTTCATATATATATATTTTAGCCCTGTGGCCCACAGCCACTCCTGATACAAGAGTTGACTTAGCTCTGGAATGTTTTTTGTTGCCTGGTGTTGCACTTTCTCCAGAGCAGCTATGTCCTTCTGAAGATGAGGTTTCCATACTTGGACACAGTAATCCAAATGTACCAGAGATTTCTACATTTGAATCACCACCTTCTTTTCCTTAAAATCAAAGATACGCTTGATTGTTCCATGGGGTTCGTTAGCTCTTTTGACTGTTGCTGTGCAAATTTTCAGTGAATGGTGGATTTTGACTCCGAGGTCATTTCTTCACCAATCTGCTGTAATGTACTGTTATTAATTATTAATTTGGTAGCTATGGCGTGGGTTATGTCCCACATGCAAGGTCATGCATTCGTCGATATTAAAAAGCATTTGTCAGTCTTCTGGCCATTTATGGAGTTCATGTAGATCTCTTTGTAAGGCTTCAATAACATTTTCATTTCCCACTTTATCATAAATCTTTGTATCATTTGCAAATTTGATGATGCGGTTTCATATCTACCACAAATTTGATTTGTGGTGGATATATGGAATCTTAATTGATATTGATCATACTGTATTGATCTTATTTATGAATCTTAATATATTTTATATCAGCAGAAAATAGTAAACATACATTATCTTTGGGTCCCGGTAGCACAGTTGGATTCGTTCTCGACACACAATCGAGAATTCCGGCTTCGAATCCCGGGCGAGGCAGAAATGGTTGGTCACATTTCCTTTCACCTAATACAACTGTTCACTTAGCAGTGAGTAAGGTACTCAGGAGTTACTCAGCTTGTTGTTGGGGGGGGGGGGGAGGGTTGCATCCTAGGCGGGGTCAGTAATTCGACCTTGGTGGGGGGGGGGGGGAGGAATCCTCGATAAAAGCCTAACGTGTATGAATACACTCTGGCTTCTTGTCCCCCCGACACAATGAAATTTTAAATTATTTGTCATTAAAGCATATATTTTAGAAGCAGATGTGTCTTAACAACCCGAATAGAGTACGAATATTAGGATATAAATAACATTAGTTAATTATTTTTATCTCGTTTTGTCAGCTCATTATTGTTTATTGCGGCGTATTATATAAACAAATATATTTTATATTAATATATTATATAAATAAATAAATAAATTAAGGATGGTGTTTTCTCCCCTGATTCCATGTGTGACTAACCATTCTGCGAGATGGGAATATTAGACAAACTTATAGCTAGTTTTTTTTCATCTACACTGTGAAATCTTTCATATAGAATAGGCTAGCAGCACATTGCTGTGTATACCTAAGTTGTTAATATATATATATATATATATATATATATATATATATATATATATATATATATATATATATATATATATATATATATATATATATATATAAACACGCGCGAACCATATTGAAAGAACAAGCAGCGCTTTCTCTGAAGATACGACGCTTACATAATCTTAATTTTTTTCCATATCTTGCCCGAAACGCCGTGCGTATTAATGAATTTATGCATGGTATATATACTAGCTCTACCTAGAACTCCAACATTCTGCTTGTAAATCAGTATGTATGTATGTACTTTTACCTATATAATAAAATTTAATTTAAACTTAATTAGGGTTTTATACATTTTAGGCTTATATCGAGGTTCCCCCACTCCTCGCCAAGGTCGGGCACACATCAGACCCTTTCACCCCTCTATGATGTAAGCTGACTAATTCCTGGGTACCTGTTTACTGCCAGGTGAACGGGAACGCGCTCAACCATTTATCCCGACCGGGATTCGAAGCCGACTGGATTATATAAATCTGCTTCGGAGACAGTTGAACATCAGAGGACAAAATTCATTCCTAAACTATGCCGACTTTCGTGCCGGAATTAAACGGCAAAGGTTTAAAGCTCGAGACATAATGCAGGAGAGAAAACAACGAGTTTGTTTACATAAATGTACATAAGTATATACATTTCCATGGGTCCATGGAAGTTCCATGGGTCCTTGGAAGTACATTTATAAAGCTGTTGCCGTTTATAAATGTTCCTGGTTAAATGATTTATTTTCATGTATTTCAACAATTCACTTATATTCCCATATATATCCCTTAAATATAAGTATTCCCTGATAACGTCTGTTCATATTTTTCTACTTTTCATGTGATGCCTTCCCTGAAAGCCGTATATAAATTGCAAAATGTCTTGTACAGTTTGTTATGTAAGTCTCCTTGTTAATATTAAGCTTTATAATATTACCTCATCAAACATTTAAAGATATTTTTTTCTTTTGTTTTTGTTAAGTTATGCCAATAACACTCACTGTGTATTAATGGCTTCATGCATTGTTCTTATAAACGGGGAAGATACATAGGTGTGATGTCTCATATATGTACATAAACGGCAACAACTTTATAAATGTACTTCCAAGGACCCATGGAACTTCCAAGCCAGTACCATTGCAGCCTGGTCTACCACCAGCCAGTCCGTCCTAATGTTTCCCAACGTCAAGAAAACGGTCAAATTAAAGTGTCCTCTCCAAACCTACCAGAGGACCCAAAGCAGAAAATAGGACAGTATACCTCACTTTCGCCAGCCGCGTCCATTTTCTACTACGACACTCTTTAGCCTTACGTAACGCATACGAGCGAAATGCGACGTTCTCTGTTGAAGAGGACAGGTGGCAACACCGCGGACTAGTTGGCACTGGAACAGCTGGCTTTCTCCCCACCACGGCTGGGCCTTTCCCCGCCCCATCTTACTTCCTCCCTCACACCTTAAGGCCCCTAGCTCTCATCTCACCTCACGGGCTCACCATAGCCCGTGCTACATGGACACTTCGTTCTGAGTAGCTAAATCTAAAACAACATCTCACCTCTTTATTCCTGGCACGTTACATTCGGCTTCAGGTCCAGTTTTATCTGTTAGCACTTATTCGTTATTATTATTTATTCTTGTCTACGTTACCTTCTCACGTATCCCTTATTTACGATTACTCTTTCCATGGCCATACTCATCTTAACTCTGCCTCTCAGGCGTGTTGTTGAAGGCTCCTTGCTTGCTCTAATTGTACCTGGTGTTAGAGGACAGCGTGCCCCGAGCGCCGCCCGTATGACACCAGCAACTGGTGGAGTCAGTGGAATTCCCGGTTGCAATTCAGATGTTTATTCAGGTAAGGTATATACATACAAGTGATGTTGCATTAATGGATTGATATATAGATAGAGCTAGTACATACAATGCCTAAAGCCACTATTACGCAATGCGTTTCGGGCAAGAAAAACATTAATATCTAGAACTTAATACTAATTGAGCATAAAGAATAAAAAGTGTTGAGAACAAATACAAATAAAGATAAAAAAAAAGGGGGAACATGACTGAAAAAGCAGCACAAATACAATAGGTTGACAAACAGTGTTGATTAAAAAAAAAGAAAATAACAGACATGGGTTGACAATAGAGGAGTGAGGTAGATTACAGGGAATTTATTAGGTAGTGTTTAGTTTTTATCTTAAACTGGTTGAGAGAGGTACAGTCTTTAACATGGTTGGGAAGGTCATTCCACATTCTGGGCCCCTTGATTTGCAGAGCATTTCTAGTTTGATTAAGTCGTACTCTAGGAATATCAAAACTGTATTTATTTCTGGTGTGGTGCTCATGGGTTCTGTTACAACCTTCTATGAAGCTTTTGAGATCAGGATTGGCATTATAGTTTAGCGTTTTATATATGTATAATACACATGAGAGAATGTGCAGTGACTTAATATCTAACATATTCAGAGATTTGAGTAGGGGTACCGAGTGATGTCTGGGGCCAGAGTTGGATAATTCTTTCGACCATGTCGTGGCCTAGTCGAGTAAGGCAGCGTCTGTGATTATCCCGGGCGTGAGTTCGAGCCCTCATCACGGCCTAAACGATTACGAACTCATCTGTTGCTATAACAGGACTGCCCCAGCCACGAGAAGAAGCCGAGTATTCATCTCTTTACAGTTTACACTAATATTAAAAGGAGAATATAGTGCCTTCCTACACTAGGTTATTGGCTTCCCCCAACCTTGCATGACAAGGGCCTCATGGTTCTATATAACAATAATGCCATTTTACTATCCTAATATATTTGGCTCGTCCCTTCTTTTTCCTTCCATGTCTCTTCCCTGATACTTGAGTTTTCCCCCATTCTCGTTCTCCCCAGTTACTTTCCACAGTCTTCTGCGGTTTCCTGTTTCTTCCTTTCTTTCTCTTTGTGGTCAATGTCCTGCAGCTTACGAGGGTTAATTCATCTTTATTGTTTACTGTTTTATTAGTTATTTTTTATGTATTATCTCTTTCCTCCTTTGCGTCCTTCTTCCTCTTATTGAACCGGTTCGTTCCCACTTTTCCTTCTTTAGTTTCTCTCGATTGTTCTCATTCCC